GTCAAAATGGAATATTAGTTGGGGTTTTCTTGCTTTGCCTTGTGATTACATGCTCCCTCCATCCTTGTCCTTTTTATTGACAGAGTTGTGTTTTGCTGACAGCTCTCAGCAGCTGCAAAAATCCTCCACTCAGAACCAGTGACGTGTCTTCTCTCAGCTGGACACGCGGACGGTCTGCTGCCCTCATTTTTTACCACCCTCCTCCCCTTCACAGATATTATTTCAGGCTGATCACTTTAGCTCTGCAATCAGTGTCCCTCTGAGCTCTCTGTGGACTCTTAGTCCTCGTTTTTCCATCTACTGCACCTCCTCTAAGCACTCGTGGCCCCTGTTGTTCCATCTGGGCTTCAGATCCTCTACCCATCCACGATGCGGTCTCTAATGGAGAGCAGCTGGATGAAGTTTGGACCTGCCGGCCGGGACTCTTTGGACTGGTCGCCAGGACCCTCGGCTCTGCCCTCCACAGATAGACAGGCACCGGTGAGTTTATCCAAATCCGATGGGGGTGTCAGGACTAATGATTTTTTTCATTATAAATAAATTGGTTGATTATTTTTTATAGCCTACATTATGAACAAAAATATTATTACATTTTGTGGGATTTTACTAAACAAAGTTAAAATGTTAAGGCATGTGTAACTTCTGTGAATTATCCACCAAAAAAAAAAAATGTTATGCAAAATCAAAATGCACATAGCAGTGTATCAGCGAGATTATGACATTTTGGCATTTAACATAACATAACAAGGTATGTCAAATGCCAGAAAAAGTCATTATGTGATTCTTGTTTGAAGTTTTAATTTGAAGTTTTGTTCCTAAATGAGAACTTCATGATTATATATATATGGAAACCACACTGTAACTTAACTTGCGATGATCAGCTATGCCAAAATATTTAACATACATAAAATTAATAAAATAAAATGAAACATCTCCGCATTGAATCTACTTTGTAAGAATGAAATAGTATTAAGTTCCAGTCCAGGAGATCCAGCTGTGTTGAAAAACAACTGTTGCTCATCTAAAACTCTAAAACAATGCGCTATTCTTAGTAATTCTTAGTATATCTTGCATTTAGAGCTTTATCAAGTGTTCACTTTTATTCATAACATAAGTATTTAAATTAATCACAAACATGCAGTATATTCAGTGGCTGTGTGCTCACACTAACCCTGAGCAGCTTTGATGGTACAGATTGATTTATGTAAAGAGGCCAAAATGTTTGACGGACAGCACCCTCTGTGGGCCAGATGTTATCTGAATAGTTTATATCAGCCAGTTTTCACATCACATCAGCTAATTGTAAACTTGAATCCATTAATGCAAAATTGTGATGCAATCATCATGCGTAAATCTATTTTCAGAAAATCTAATTGTTATGTGTTTGACTCACAGGGCCAGAGCTCAGGTGAGGCAATCAGTGCCGGAGCCATCGCCTACATCGCCATTGCAACCATCTCCTTCCTCCTCCTCTTCCTCAGTGCCCTCTGCTTCCTGATGTGGCGCCGCAGGCATGGCTTCAGCTTCAATGGCAAGCTGGGACTGGCCAACGTGATTGCCCTGGAGGACCTGCAGGACCCGGAGAGGAACTGTGAGCTGCTGTCCTCCATCCGTCGCAGTCAGAGAGAGCACCAGCTTCCCAGCTCCAGTTCTGAGCAGGACATGACGGACGGCGTGTTCCTCATGGTCTACCTGCCCTCGCCGTACGAGCAGACGCTCACCAGGATTGCCCGAGCTGCCAGCACAAGCAGCTCCAAGGATGTGGAGCTCCTGCCGCCGAGTCCTGGACCAGAGACAGGCAGCAGAGATGAAGAAGGGATGAGACCGAACGACAAAGCAATCATAGAGGAAGAAATCAAGGACTGAATCAAGGCAGAATACAAAGGAGGGAAGAGAAGAGAGGGGAGGATGATGATAACATACCCAGTGTTGCAGAAAAACATCAAACCTTCCGACCTACCAAGACTAGACCGCACATTAATCTAGATAATGAGAGAAGCAAGAAAGATTAAAAGAGACAACAGTTATAAGAAGAGACACGACCCTGTCCTACACCACCAAGATCTCTCCTCTATATAGATTGTTGGATGTGGTTTTGGTTGACTGGGATCCAGAATGCATTACCTTCAAACCTCCCTATGGATAAGATTCTCAGTGACTCTCCTTTGATAAGTTCAATGCTGCTGAACACTCATACGGTTTTAGGTGTCCTTCTCTTGACAGTGACAATGTTTTTTTACAGGATTAAAACCACTGATTTTCCAGTTTGGTCCACTTAAGACACCCGTCTGTACCCTGCTGTCCCTGTACCATCCTGTGGCACAGTGCAGTGTAAAAATGATTGACAGAATGTTTTTTAACATTCCTCTTACAGGTTAGAAATAGAAATAATTTACTTGTTTTGTTTGCACCCGCAATTGTAAAAATGTACATCTACATTGAAATATTTTTTACTCACAATGTGTATTTTATCTGTCTAGCTGTAGCATCCTTTGAATTGTATTTTCCCAATTATGATTTTAAATCAAAGTGAAAACAATTTCACAGTCCTTCATGGAAACAGAAAAATCTTTATTTTGTAATACTGGTATTTGTATTTATTTTTACTGTGTGATATTCACAATAGGCAACATTCAATTTTGTCTCATTGTTTGACCTCTGGATACAATGACTGACAATAAAATGGAGAATTCTGATTTTTACAGCTCTCTCTGTTAGTTGTTCTACAGAATTTTGCAATATTAATAATTCCCACTCAAACTCCACATTAAATAGAACCTAGCTGATGGCTATGGACGGCCAGAAAGGACATGAGTCGAGAGTATTTTAAAACAATTACTTGTTAATTGTATAAAATGTAAAAAGAATAAATAAAAAGGCTCATTCATGCATATTGTTTTATTTTCAGGTTTTGCTGTAATAGCAGATACAGCAGCTTTGGCTAAATTGTGCTGCAAACGTTAATCAAAGCGTTGATCTGTCACACATCCCTGTTTGTTTAATCTGGGCATGTTTGTTTGAAGCAACCAAATGAGTTTAAATATGAGAGGGGAAAAGATCATGACGTGAAACTGGTGAATTTGATGGTGTTTACAACACAGCGGCACAGTAGTAAACATAACAAGATCGGAACATCTAAAACACTACAATATCAAAACCACAAAAATATAAAACCATCAATGCTCTCAAATATGAAAGTGCAGTGGACTTGGTTGAAGATACAAGAAGATGTTTTTCATCCCTCATCCAAAAGACTTGGAAACTCAGCCATTTAACCTCTGTGGGGTCGTTTGCCAAGATTGCTTTAACCTTCTTTGGAAAACTATGTCCTGGATGACTGAGAACCTTCACAGACAGTCCAATATATAATTAAAAAGCTTGGCCTACAGCTTCTTCTTAAATGTATACTGGAGCAGACTGATTACTAACATTCCTCAGGTGCTGCACAACGCCGTCCATCAATCACAGGTGAATCTAATCAGGCGGCTTAATAAAACCCCAATCCATGGCCAAAACACACATATCAAAGTTAACAGGATGCATATGCCTTTTTCATATGTTTAACAGAAGAAACTGAACACAGTCTACGCTTAGCCTACTATAGGCTATTTGAATTTACATGTTTTTCTCTCCATGTTAGCCCGTTGTCCACACTAAGTTGCTGTGAACTGTGATTTTATTTATGACTCCATAAACTTTGTAGTTGCTAATTATATATAGTGTATAAAAAATACTTATTTATGTAGTAGATACTCATAATATATTATTCTAGTAGTTGAAAGTTACTTATATACAAGGAATCTGTTCTGGAAGCTTGAAGCGAGAGAAGATAATTAAATTAATCCGTTGTAGTTTTATGATATATTCTGTGAATTTGTACCCAATTCAAGTTCACAATTTTTAGTCACGTTCATGTTTCATGCATTGGATGTTCAATATTGTCAAGTGACTAATCTACTTGAACAATGAGAACATACAATAGAAAGTACAAATTGTTAAGTGTAATCATTTAATGCTGCCCTAAACTTAAGAAAAGGCAGTTTCCTCATAGAAAGTGACTTTTTTGATAAATTATCCCACTATTTAAGTCAGCCAAAATCCACCGCTTTAAACAAAACGTGCAGTGCAGTCTGATTTGAAGAAAAACATTAAGGCTTTGAATGCTGGTTTCAGCTTTGCCAGCTGTTTTAGCTGTTTCTACTTCAAGGTTTGGGTTATATTTAAAGCCCATTATGGCTGGATTACCACAATAAATCTGTACAGAAACTTCCTTGACAGTGGGATGTTTATATTTCCTTATCTGCATTTAGTGTCTTATTTGCTGTGAGAAAACACATAATTAATCTATTTAGTGTGGAAAACTGTTTTTCACAGCTTATTTTAAAAGAAATTGTGTAATTTAGGGATGGCAAACAACATTTTGGGCATTACAGCAAATGAGAAACTTTTCAGGCAAAACCTCGAAATGTTGTGATTTTGTAAATCTCAAAATCAGAGAATTTGCCTCATGTTATAGTTATACTTTTTTAAATACTGTGAAACAGAACAATGCATTTTTTCAGTTTAGTCATTTTCTGAAGCATGGAATTTAATTCAATTCAATTTTTCAATTCAATTTTATTTATATTAAATACATGATAATAAGATGTATCAACCTGAACCGCTACAGCGATGCTGCAGAACTGTCTATTTCCAATCTGCTGGGGTCTACTGACGGACTTCTGGAGAAAATAGCCCACATGATTATATTATTGACTATAGCGTTGGGCTTCTCTAACAGTCACACCCTGCACTCACTCACCACGCAGACACTCTGTAAGTGGCCCAATTCAGGTTGAGCGAGTGTCATAGTCAGCCTGCATTCAGTCTGATGACTCTCTTTATTTCTGTTTACAATTTTTGTAATTGCTTCTATGTTAATGTATATTGTCTGCTGCATAGCATTCACTCTTTAACCTGTTGTGACCAAATAAATTTACCTACCTACCTGCCTACTTTGCATGAAGGGCTTTGCGCTGCTCCCGGACTATCAGCATGGCTCTCAACGTCCCAGGACTGATAGCCACCATCATATTCTGACGCTCAGGATCGGCAGCTGGGCTTCCATCAAATCCAAAAGGGATGAAAACAGGTCTCAGGCAAACCATGCAGACATGGCCCTGCTGGGGAACAGAAAGATCAGCTTGGGCATCTTCACTACAACCGGTGAGTTTCTGTGCAGCCTGCAGGTTCAAAGCCTGCTGGATCTATAGAACTATTTTGGTAAACTTTCATTTTTGTTGTCATTATTTGCTAAGTAGCAGACTTCCGAGTTAGTCATAATTTGGTGTGTACTCAGCATGGACAACAACTTACATTTGTGCAATGGTGAAGTCACTTTATGAATAGACAGGCTGTATATGGAATTATGACAATTATAAAAAGGGCAGTATGTCTGTGAAGGTTCTCAGTCATCCAGGTCATAGTTATCCAAAGAAGGTTAAAGTCAAGAGCAACTGGACCTGGTTGATGATGTATATATAACAAGGGCAAGAGGTCAAAGTATGATCAAAATAAAAAATGCAGACAAATTTGGATGGTAGCTGTCCAGTATATACTGGGTTAAACCAATGACATTGAGTTTAATTTGCTCGTCCTAATGGTTTTGAAGACAAGCAGAGTGCAGCTTCCATTTCAAGCCTACAGGGAGTGTTTGATACTTAAAGCAGCTCCTCTACACTTTTAGCTGAGCAAAAGGCAGGCAGTCATGTCAGGACCACAGAACAGAATAATGCAGCCTTAAGCACTTAAACTGTTAAAAAATGTTCATCAGAGATTATTTCTAAACTCTGGCCCGAAGGAGGGCCCTAATGCATATCCGTGCCTTTCTCACTTCCTTACAGGAGGAGGTGCAGATTAACAGGAACCTACTCTATGTCATCACTTACCATATTTACTGTAGATTGCTTGGATGCAGAAGATAACACATCAGACACTGGTGTAGGGAACTCATTCAGGTGGAGTCTCGCAAAGGTAAATTTTGAGACGTTCCTTCTTATATGTAGAGATAATAAGACCTGCAAACAGTCATGAAGATGAATATGCATGAATATTTAAATTAATATATAAAACTGAAAAGATCAGCAGTTTTTGATTTATTATGATGATGGGTATACCACAGGTACCCAGATTTGTGTGAACTTGCACCAGCTTTAGTGATGCCACTGAAAATGTTAGATAGACATTAAAAAACCTGATCCCTTTTAATAACCTGATCTCTCAAACAACAGGTTTCACTCTGAAGAATGGAAGATTTCTACATTAACAGCACCTCACAGAACCAAAGCTCTGATTACAGCAACATCTCCTCTGACTACTTTGATAACAATGAGTATCTCAATTTTATATATGTGGTGACATACATAATCAATGGTATCAGCCTTCCTTTGATCCTTGTGACCATCTATGCTCTTTATTCTCTGGTAAGTGCATTATGAGAGTTCTTTATTTCCTGTCTGTGTTGTGTGTCTGTCGTACAGTCTGTAAGGGATCTTGGTCTGGCTTGGGGGTTAGGTGGCAGGGGGCTAGGACAAAATTATTGTAATGACCTATACACTTAGAGGAATAATTTACTCCATGATTAGAATGTACATGAAGCTGATTGGATGATGTGCCGCTCCACTCCAGCGTTATCTTAAACTGTTGAGGTTATTGACACCATTTTGTTTGAACTCAGAGACAAACATAAAACAGTAATTTAGTTTGGCAGAGCATTTTGTACAGAATTATTTGGGCTCATTATTTAAGCATGAGTGACATTTTGTAGATATTCATAATCTTTTGGGATGTTTTGAAAACAATTTGATGGATTGCCATGAAAATGATACAGTCATGGAGCCCAGAGGTTGAATTGTAATAACTCTTGCGATCCCCTGACTTTTCATTTTAACACAACCATCAGATTAAAAATGTTCATTTGTTCAGTGATTTGGTTTATTAATTAATATCTGCAAAACTAATAATATTGGCATTAGCCTCAGCAGTTTATTATTTTTTAATAGTTTTTTTTAATTTTACCTTTATTTTACCAGGTAGTCCGAGTAAAAAAAAAAAAAATCTATTTTACAAGAGAGACCTGGCCAAGGTACCAGCCATACATAAAACAACCGGGTGCGGGTGGTCGGTGATGTCCCACCCACTAAATCATAAAGGATGCAATGGTGAATAAGGGACTTTGAATTTGTAATATAGCGTAGAGATGCATGATACACTGAATCAATAATTATTATGTTCTAGTTAAATGTAAGTCTAAATGCAGGATATTTTTCTCTATGTATGTTTCCCTGAAAGATTCCCCCACGAAGGAGAGTTTGATGGAAAATGGAAAAATAAATGGCTCTGACTGCAGCATGAGATGACAGATTTTGGAGGAGGTGGACTTCATAACATGTTCACAACTGCTTGTTGACTTTTACCAATGTTTTCCTGCAGGTGCGAAGTGGTCATGTTGCTCCGATCTACATCATCAACCTTCTCATTACTGACCTCATCCAGCTCTGCTACATGATCGTTGAGATGGCCACACCTAAAGATGTGGAAATACCTGTCATCTTCTTTAATATTTACTTCTTTGGTCTGTTTGCCAGTGTTTACTTCATGGTCTGCATCGCCCTGGAAAGGTATCTGTCTGTCTATCCCGTATGTGTGGAGCTCCTTCTGTGTCTGAACATTATATTAGTTTATAACTCTGAAGCTCCTCAAAGACTTTGTGTCCATCTTGTGTTACAGGTATTTGGTCATCGCCCACCCGCTGTGGTACCGCTTCAGACGAACTGTCAAGATTTCTGTGGGAGTCTGTGTCCTGGTCTGGGCCCTTTCTCTTGTCTGTGTCATCCCTTTATATTTTTGGAATGGTTATGTGACCGCACACATGATCTTTGCTGTTGTCCTCCTTCTTCCCTTCGCACTGTTAATCTTCTTCCTGGTTGGGACCCTCAGAGCCCTGTCTGCTGCCATCTCTGTCCACTCAGATGAAAAACGACGAATTGTGGGAATTTTGGTTCTGGTGCTGCTTATTTACACACTGCTGTTCCTGCCCACCATCATTGGGTTACTGGCATTAAACGTGACCCTCTTTAAACTGTCTGTCTTATTTGTTAGGTTGAGTCCTCTTGCAGACTTAGTCCTTTATTTTTTCATGAGGAAAGGGGTCATAGACAAGCTTTTGGTCTCTGTGTGTTGCTGCAGAATGGACAGCAATGATATCAGCAGTCCATCAGTATGAATGATGACAACATTTCCACAGTCAGCTTCATGTAGACAGCGAAAGAGGGAGAGAGAGAAAGGGGAGGAAACAGGAGGAGAAATGTATGTGAATAGAAAGGATAGAGACAAGACAGATCCTGTCGTCTACTGTATCAATTTCTAATAAGACACCTAACTGTAGATAACAGGAAACGCTGTTTGGACTGTGGGAGAACTCATTGTAGCCTAAATCTGTGTTTTGACTGTTGTTTGTGTGTTTAACACAGGGAGAGCATCTTAACATGTCTTTAGACTTTTATTATTTTTGGTGTCATGCACATTGTAATTTAGTAGTATTTACTTTTACTTTTTATTACTAATATACGGTCACCCAAAACTGTATTTACTAAGGAGTTTTGTGATTTTTGTGTACAAATAATAAACTAAGCCACACACTATCTGTGTATCTGTGTTTGATGTTTAAGGCTTATTTGTGATGTTTTAGTGGTAGGCATGCTAGTTTTTAGGATGTGATTGAAAGCAGGTATTTTGCTGTTGTGTGCTTGGCAATATAGATAAAATCATATACCACACTGTGTAATTTTAATTGCATTTGTACATTTTGTGCAAATAAAAAATCAGTTTTTAACAAAACTGTAAATGTTTGTCTTTTGACCAACTCAGTGAATTAAAACCTGACAAATGAAGGTTCAACAAAATCTCTATTGTGTATAAGAACATAAAGCCCTGCTGTTACCAGAGAGGCATCCTGCAGTTTCTTTTCAAATTACCAGTCCATTACCAAAAGATTTCACACATTATAAAGTGTGACACGCATAGTCATAAGTTAGTAAAGTATCTTTCACCTTTTTAAACTTTAGCTCATTATTAACTGAGATCCAACAATTACAAGCAGCGACTACTTGTTCTGTTTTTATTCGTAGTCTAGCTGTAAAACTTCCACTCATTACTTAAATATGATGTTGACCTGTAAAAAAAAAGTATCATACTGAGTAACAGCTTATATATAAGACTATGATTCATGGTGTTTGAAACATACTAAGCACTATGGACAATTTGATGCTTTGCTGTGAAAGCAGGTCTCGGTGGAACCATACAGTCTATGGGTGGAACCCATCCTAATGGTTTTGAGGACCTAGTACAGTTTCCATTTCAAGCCTACAGGGAGTGTTTGAAACTCAAAGCAGCTCCTCTAAACTATTAGCTGAGCAGAAGGCAGGCAGTCATGTCAGGACCACAACAGATGAATGCATCTAGATGCAATTGAACAGAAACTATTAAAGTATTTATCAAATATTTTCAAGACTGTGGTCAGCAGGAGGGCCCTAATGCTTATTTGTGCCTTTTCCCACTTCCTCAGAAGAGGAGGTGCAAATTACCAGGAACCTATTACATGTTATCACTTACCATAATTTCTTTTTGGATTGAGAGGACAACACATCAGACTGGTATTGAGACATAGAGAACTCATTCATGTGGGGTCTTACAGCTTTCAAAGGTAAATATTGTAAACTTTCCTTTTTTCTTATCTTTAGAGATGAAGTGCAAACAGTCATGAAGATGAAAATGCATTGATATATTTATTAATATGTAAAACAAAAAAGGCAACAGCTTTTGATTTTATTTGATTGTGGGTGTACTGTAGGTGTCACAATTCAGTCTTGTCTGCTCTGTATTTCTGTGTCTTCTTCTCTGTTTTCGTCTGTCGTCTTTCTGTGTTATCAGGTATTTAGTCTGGACTTTTGAGTTTTCTGTCAATTTTAGATTGTCTTTTGTCACTGCATGGACTCTACTTGTTGGATTTGTCTGCACCACTTTGTGTAGGCCCTGAGTTATCCGTGGGTGTGAATAAATATCTCGGAGCGTACTCTCCAGTCTACTCTGCAGTCTGTCTTGCGTTTGGGCCCAAAACCTTTCGGTCCATCAGCCAATCCTGAGAATAGGTACACTTTATTTGTGTGATCTAACAGCTTTAGTGATGTCACTAAACAATGGTGGGTACATATTAAAAACCTTCTCCCTTTGAATAACCTAATCTCTCAAACAACAGGTTTTCCTCTGAAGAATGGAAGGATACTACAATAACAGCACCTCACAGAACCAAAGCTATGATTACACCACCTCTGGCTACCAGAATTACAGCAACATCAACAATGAACTAACTGACGTTCACAAAAAAGTTAATTTCATCATATATGTGGCAGTATGCATAATCATTGCATTCGGTCTTCCTTTGACCCTCACGGCCATCTATGCTCTTTATTCTATGGTAGGTACATGACTGAGTTATTTAAATATACTTTCTGTATCTGTGTTTGTTATACAGAAGGAATGCTTTGAATTTAACACCAGATTGCTTCAAATCTGGCATTTAGTCTTGTTACTGCAGTGATTGGCCTGCTGCTGGGCAGAGCAAGATGACAGATTTGGGAGGAGGTGGACTTCACAACATCTTTACAACTGCTTGTTTACTTTTACCTGCAGGTGAGAAGTGATCATGTTGCTCCGATCTACGTCATCAACCTTCTTATTTCTGACCTCATCCAGCTCTGCTACATGATCATTCAGGTGGCAAAACCTGACGATTGGAATATAGAAGAAATCTCCTATTATATTTACCTATCTGCTGTGTTTGCCAGTGTTTACTTCATGGTCTGCGTCTCCCTGGAAAGGTATCTGTCTGTCTATCCAGTATGTGTGGAGCTCCTTCTGTGTCTGAACATTATATTAGTTTATAACTCTGAAGCTTCTCAAAGACTGTGTGTCCATCTTGTGTTACAGGTATTTGGTCATCGTCCACCCGCTGTGGTACCGCTACAGACGAACCATCAAGACATCTGTGGTGGTCTGTGTCCTGGTCTGGACCCTTCCTCTTGCATATTTCCTCACTTTGTATTTCTGGCATGATTATGTGCCGCGCAGGATTATCTTTGCCATCGTCCTACTCCTTCCCTTCCCACTGTTAATCTTCTTCCTGGTTGGGACACTCAGAGCCCTGTCTGCTGCCATGTCGGTCCACTCTGATGAAAAACGCCAAATTGTGGGAATTCTGGTTCTGGTGCTGCTTATTTTACACGCTGCTGTTCCTGCCCCAAATTTTAGGTTTTTTCGTACTTCGCTATGATACAACCCTTTCCACCATGTCGGTCCTGTTTCTCAAGTTGAGTCCTCTTGCAGACTTAGTCCTGTATGTTTTTATGAGGAAAGGGGCCACAGACAAGCTTTTGGCCTCTCTGTGTTGTTGCAGAATAGACAGCAAAGACATCAGTTCATTTTTCTCTAAATATAGAGGACAACAGCCCTAAATGAAGCTCTGCAGCGACAAAGACAGGGAACGATCAAAGGGGGGCGCAGCAGAGCTGCTCGCATGGTCAGGGCTTATGCCGCTCAGCACTGAAACAGCGAGAGCGGGGTACGCTCTCAGGGATGGGGCTTACAGGCTCCGATGTGGTAGTGAATTCTTAAAATAGAGTTACTATCATCAAGCAGGTTTGATATATTAAAAATGAATGTGTTGAAACATAAGAGTTTTTTGAAGTTCTAAGGAACAGCTCGCAGTATTTCCACCATTGTCGTGGTGTTTCAGTGTTATTATTGCTGTGCTGATGCTGTAGGTCAGGGGTAGGCATACAAGTTTGAGTGTCTGGTTAGCTTTTTTCCATTTTCAACAAATTAAATATGAAAAGACCATTTCAAATGCTCACAATAGAGCATGTGCAGGAGCGTGTGTCCCGGTGATTGATCCACATCCATAAACCTATGGACGCTTATTTTCATTTCATCAACATCTCCTGTCAGAAGAAATTCCTGCACTTCTCATTAAGGGGAAAAGTGTTTTCCAATGGCTATTTAAGAGGTGTTTAAAGCAAGCCACATACTCTTCTGAATGGCTTTCAGAACTTTTCAAGTTTTGGACAAACTTTGGGAATTGTTTGGTTTGTACACTCAGAGTTTAAAAATGCACAAATGTCTTTAACTGTTGTCGTTTTCCTGCAGGTGTGAAATAATCACATTGCTCCAATCTACGTCATCGGCTTCCTCATATCTGACCTCATTCAGCTTTTCTGCACAATCATGGTGGCAAAACTCACTAAAGAATAGCAGAAGAAAGATTTGTGATCAATGTGATCTCTTTGATGGCGGGTTGATGTCATTCTGGTCTCTTCAGTGGACTTGTTGAAGAGCGTTCTAGCTTTGGCAATTTTTTTTGTCTGAACATGGAAAGTAATCTCCAGGAACACAGTTCATGTTTTCAGACAGATTGATGATAGAAAAGCTAAATGAGAGATTACACTGAATTACAGAAGCTAGTGGAACAGAGGATAGCCCAGAGGTGACGTCATGACTTTGCCTCTCTGTGCTCCTGGCTGCTATTATCAATGTTGACGTGAACATTTAAAGAATTAGTACTACTATTAAAGGTTATTGTTACAAAATAATATTGAATTAATGTTGTTCTGATCCATCATACATAAACTAACCAATTTATTTGTATCAGAACTGCTTTTCTGATGGTGAAGCATCTTTGGAACCCAGGTGCCACCGCTCGCAGTGTTATTGTAGACTGTGTGGATGCAGAGCGGAAAACTGACTCGGCTGAAGCAAACCCATTGTTGTGGTCCTGGAAATGCAAGTTATTATGCAAACTGTACCAAGCTGTCCTTTCTAAACCACCATGTGCTGAAGGATGGGGGCTTAGTCATAACATCTGATGGCGCAGTGGATAAGACACATGCCTTTGGGTCTGAATCCACTGTAAGACACCCATTGTGTCCCTGAGCAAGACACTTAACCCCTAGTTGCTCCAGAGGCGTGCGACCTCTGACACATATAGCAACTGTAAGTCTCTTTGGATAAAAGCGTCGGCTAAATGAATAAATGTAAATGAATATGCTGTATTTAAATGTTGTTAAACATTGTGAATGTGTCAATGTTCAGTTACATCCATCCTACAACAATGAAATACACAGGTGTTTCAACAAATCTAACAAATATTGGAGACTTAAA